AAGAATAAATACGTGACCGATAGCCGTCCAGAAAAACAACTCATTTTTTTTTTATCCATTATTTCAACCCACGGTCACCGTACAAAATGAACCAAAACGAAAAATGAACATTGATGAAAATTGAATCATTCAACTGACATATTTTCTTTGTCATCAGAACATTTCGATGATGCCATTGCCATAAAAGATCGCTTGCGTAATGTTCAGCCACCAATCTACAACGAGCGCAGAATGAATGAAACTCCGATTCCACCAGTTCATATCGATGATGAAGAAGAGCAAGGATTGGGTGGAGAAACGGAAACCGAAGCCGAGGATGAAAGTTGTGTCATTGATCACTATAATCAATCAGGCGATGAATTCACCGATATTGCCATTGACCCTCTTGCCAGCTTTGCCAGCACAATTGATGACGATGGCAATGAATTGTTACAAGTTTCACAAACCAATGATAACGAAGTGGTTGAAGATGACAATACCACAGGACAAAATATCGAGCAAACAGTTGAACGAAATATGAACGATTCAACAATTGACGAGCAAAACGAGAGCGAAATGGCAGGCGGTGCTAACAATGGCGATCAAGTTGTTGAACCAAATACCGACGAGGCAGCAACTGGTAAGAGCAATGAAACAACAAACGAAAACTCGAATGATCATGTTGTTGTTGTTGTTGTTGAGCAAAATATGAACGTTATACCAAATGTTGTAAATGAAAACAACACATCAAACCCAGTCTCTCTCAATGATGACTCAATCGGTTTGCCATTCGTTGTTGCCGAAGGGTCTGTTGTAAATCCCGAAGTCGAAGAATCTGAACAAAATCCCAATGTCGCAAATAATGTGGATGTCAAGCCAGTATTTCAGGAAATATTAATAGAGCGCACAGAAAATGATTCGGATCTTGATGACATTTTGTCTGAAGAGAAAGAAGTGGTTTTGGATGAACATGTCACGATGTTAGTCGGCCCACACGGAATCCCAAAGCCATTAGCTACCACAACTGACGACTTACTCAAACGCGAAAACGACGGAATGTCAGGAAACATCCCATTCAATGAAAGGGTAAGTTAGATTGAGCTCATGTAGTGATGAAATTTCAAAGTCAATTTTTTCGTACATTTTTAGTTAGATTCGATTGCCAAGAAAAAACAAATTTTATAATTGTAACATTCACTTCTCTGCCAGCAAACCAATTCATTCAATTAGAACAATACTGTGAACATGAAATTTTTTTATTCTGTTTGAATTTTCAAAGCAGAAATAACTGAAATTTGCTTCAATTTGTTGGAAATTATTTATATGTTTTACTGTGCATAATGGACGCACATTTAACTAAAACAAACCGAAAAACAATTGTCGTTCAAAAAAAAATTGAATTAATTTGCTATTGAGTAATTTTGTATTTTTTCATGTTGAATTACCATGTTGACACAAGTTTATTCTTTTTCTTTTGCTGTTTGAAAGCCAAATTGATTTTTTTTTTAATTGCTTTTTTGTAGAAAAAAGGACGAGTTTACAAGATTGGTACCAAGAAAGCCGAAATTCCGTACAAAGTGATTGACAAAATTCTGGAATGGAATGAAGATCGTGACAAGCGTAACAACATCGATTACGATCGAAAAATGTGTCAAATGCTGGTAATGTCGTTGACCCCAAAGGATGATATCCGCACATCAAAAATCAGCAGCCAGGTCATCGAATTTGTCAAGGCATGTTTTATTGTTCGTTGCGGCGAAAACGAAGAACGCATTGGGGCCGTCGAAATGTACATAAATGATTTATGTACTGAAAAAGCTAAACAAACAAACGAAGCCACAGCTTAGGCTAGTGCAAAATGAATATCACATTAAAACTTCACAATGTAGTCGACATTCAGGATAAAAAATTCTTTGCTGTAACGTTACTAAAAATGAAAAAAAAAGTACAAAAAGTGATATTTTGATCGATAGTTTTATGTTTACAATAATTTTTGATATGTTACTGAAGCGAATTAAATATTGCAGACAGTAGTTGAAAACAAGAAAGAACATACAAAATGAATTACTTTATTCATTTAAACTAATAATTACCGTACTCAATTTATGAAATAACAAAAAAATCTAAATTTAAAGCGCGAGGAAAAATCACTTCAAATTAATAGTAAAGCTATATTTATATATTTATCAGAACGATTCTAATCAGATATTCCCATTTTCAGTGAAATACGTGGAAGAATATATATATTTTTGATAACTATCACACTAAAAACAAAGGAACGGATGCAAAACAAAAAAAATATTTATTAGAGAGCCAAATAAGAAATTTAAATTTAAATAAATATTACACGTATTTAAATTTTTATATAAGTTGAACGCTTCATGCGGCTTTTAAAAGATTAAATACCATTCATCCTAATAATATTTTTGAACAAATGTTCGCAGTAAGCAATATACTTTAAAAATAAAGAGAAGCATTTTAGTACAAATTTACACAAGCCATACAATGAAAGGAAGGTGATAATAAAATAAATTTTAAACCTGAATCAAATGAATGTAAAATTTTGTCAAAGTAATGAAAAACCGTTAATTAAAAGAGCAATAGTTCAATTTGTTTTATTGATTTCATTTAAGGCATTCTGAATTAATTTCAAATTGTTTTGTGATACACAAATTTTTCCAGTATCATTTCTAACAATGACATGATAAGACAAAGTTGCAACATAATGATCCATTGAAATAAAAGTACATTTTGGCAAGTCGAACGTATGAATAATACCATTTACATCTACTTTATACCATGAAGAAAGAACTTCAATTTTTCTCGGATCTTTTTTGTCTTCTGAAGGTGGTGCAAAGTCCCACAAATATTTTCTGTCCTTGTACGTTTTACTTTCCGATGCATATTGGAACGAAATTATATTACCCAAAAGAAATGTTTTAAATACTTTTTCATAAATGTTTTTGAAAATACACCAGTCACCGATTTTAATTTTTTCAGCAACACATAACGGTTTGTCCATTGATGTAACATCCACGAATTCAAGCTGACGGTATGACTTTCTGTTTGGGTTTCTGACACGTTTCACTCTATCGGAACTTATCCTATCTTTGCTCGATGAAAGATTCCACATTAAAGATGATATTCGCACAGTTTTACTTCCACTCTCACCAGTTATATTCACGAATGAGCTATTTTGACCATCTTGAGAATGTTGTGGATAATCTTTTAAGTTGCGGTGGCATAGTAGAATATCACTCACATCTGAAGCGATCCCCAAGTCCGTATGCTTAGTATTTACGTTATCGTCATCTGTAGTACAATCGATCTCGACATCTCTTAACTTGCAATCAGCAATTTCATCAAATGTTATATTTATTCCAAACTTTTTAGCGGCAGCTGTAGCATCACTTGAAGCCCTTAAGAGTGTGTTCTCTATTTCGTTATCATCTGGTAATTTGTATTTATTTTCCTTGTGATTTTTGGCTGGGTCTCGTGGGAAAATGACATCGCGGTCAACCAATTTGAAATACATAATATCGTTCATGATTTCAATTCGTTTAACCAAATGAATTAATTCTAACAAGGTAAAATTAATTTTGGTGTAATTAATGGTGCCCAATGAACGAAATTTTCGAAAAGTTTCTTCGCATGATTGGCTATTAAAAATACTTGGAAGGAAATATTCATCCATATTTTGATCACGGAATTTTCGGATTAAAATAATCAAATTTTGAGAATTAAGTTCGATACATCCATACGCATTTGGAGTTATAAAGTTATTTTCCAAGGTCATATCGCGAGTGTTTGTGATGAAAATTCGCCAAGCACGTAAAAAGTATGTTGCTCGCCAGCTAAGATACAGTCGATCTGATGGTGGCAAATCATCGGTATAAAGGCTGCTTGTTATATCGTCGCAAATTCGAATATATTCTATAGTTGCATCTGAATCGACAATCTGTATCAATGCCTCACGTACGCGTGGATGCATAATTCTACGCAATGAACTAAAATTTTGTCTATCGTCGGGACAGATATCTGAATAAACTAAACCATGCATATCTTTCGGAACTGAATTTAGAAGCATTTTCAAGTGAGAAACACTTGCCACTTTGTATCCAATTGATAAGCAGATCAAAACATTTAATAGCCTATTACGCAGCCTCGTGGCGATGTGAACAATGTCTTGAAAGTAGCAAACAGTCGACTTAAATGTTTCCGCCACGGAAACGTCTCTTTTATTGCGCATGGATTTTAATATTCGAGCATCTCCATCGCCGGAAAATCCCGCCACATCAATACCATATCTGGATAAAAAACATTTGCTTTTTTAAATATTTGTAGTTTAAGAATACTTCAAAATCACATTTACCTCTTGAGTTCATTTTGTGTGTGTTGCCATCGCAAGGCTACATCTTTTGTTTTGAATTTGTTGTCTGTTCCAAACAACTGAATAATGAAGGGAGGAACATTGATTGCAAGTGGCTGTGCCATAACCAAGTATACTGAAACTGACATATTTTGCTTCATGTTTGATTGAATTTCCTCTACATTTCGAGCCAAAAATGAAAATGGAACTGGCATTCCAGTACGTGGTTCGGTTGGAAGTACTATGCCAATCATTTGGTTTGTTCTCTGGTCGTACTCAATTTTCGAAATGATTGATGAAGCATCTTCGGACAACCACACAACCATAGGCAATTTGAGAGCTTCTAAATAACTTTTCAGTTCTTTACAACGCAGTTCTCCTTCGATAATCGTCGAATTGTTTTCGTTAATATATCGTACTAAAATAAATATTTATTTTTGTTATTCAAACAGAAAAATAATCTCACTTCATAACGATCTTACGTATTGTATGCGACGATGGAATCGGTAAATTTGCGCTAAGTGTGTCATAGCACGCTTTGCCACATAATAAATATATAAACGTCGAAAAGTAACGATTAATTTCATCATATCTAAAGCCGTTTGGTTGTTTCCCATTATTTGACTCTGCAGTCTCAATAAATGATTTCAATATTTGCGAAAAATTCATTTGCGGTCGCAGGTGTCCGATTTTTTGCAATTTTGTTTCCGTTTCATTACAATTTTTGATTAACTGTGGTAGCTGGATGATAAGCAATCGGTGGCCCGGTTTAAATTTAAACTTATTCACATTCTCGTATGATGTTTCTTTGAGAATTTCTGGGTTTTCATTGACATAGTTCTCAATATCCACAATAGCATCGTTGTCAATGGACATTAGAGATGATTCATTTTCAAATGCACAGAATTCCAGGATTTTAATAATATCGGCCGGAATTTTGTCATTCAAATATTTTTCTAATTTGAAAATAACATTTTCCAGTCCCTAAAATACAAAACACAACTTAAATTGATATTAAATTTGGATCGAAATAACTATTTACCATTTTGGCGAACTAATGTTAACAATGTCGTTGCAACGATTAACACAACAAATAAATATAGATCTGTCAAGTGCATTCGCATTCGCGCAGCAATATTCGGACGTATTTGCCAATACGCCGTATAGATACATTGAATGGTTATTCGTACGAATGCGAACATTCGGCACGAATATCAGTATTTGCGAGTGTTTATATTCAAATGCATGGCAAAGTATTCGCGCATTCGTACGAATGGCAGTATTCGCATAGAGTGAAATGCCCCTAGTGTTGATAGCTCGTGCCAAGCCGGGATAAATGCAGAGATGAATAAAAAAACTGAAAAATAAACAGGCCAAGGTTCGCATTGCAAACTGGAATTCGAACATGAAACTAGGTGCTAATGGATATCGGCCACATGGAACCTGTTTATTTTTCAAAATCCAATTCAATTATTATTAGACTAATTGCAGTATTTTAACTCATCAAATCCATTGCTCCAATGATCTCCAGCTTATTGTGTTTCATTGCATAGACTTTGTACTGACCTGAGGATTTTCAGAACAAAGATTTTGTTCTATTATGGAAAACTAGGGGGAGGGATCCAGCTGCAAATACAGATTTACATTTTCGATATGTTATCAATATGTTATTGCCCGACATATTTATTACTATGTTATGTTGGGATTTTTTTTTATCTTAATAACGTTATTAAGATTCAGCATAATAATAACATAATATGTTATGCGTTATATCGGGTGTTATCTTAATAAATCCTAAGATTCGGCGGTAATAACATTTTATTAACTATAATAATAACATATTATTAAGATGGATTTATTAACTCAATTAATAACATATTATTAAGATGCAATCTTAATAACGCTTTTTTCGCGCATTCTTTTCCCTAGCTGGAGAGAAAAAAAGCACTGTACGATGTACACAACTATAACAATGCAGACAAAATATGGTAAATTGATCCTTTCAAAGTCGGGACTGGCGATTTCCTAAACTTAATGGTTAAGTTCAATACATGATAATTCCGTTTCAAAGAGTCATTTTAATTTCATTGCAACAGTGCAAAAAATTCATGTTCAACAGAGAAAAAACAACTTGTCAGTGCTCCGGCGGAAAAAATGAGCGAAAAAAACGTTATTAAGATTGTATCTTAATAATATGTTATTAATTGAGTTAATAAATCCATCTTAATAATATGTTATTATTATAGTTAATAAAATGTTATTATCGCCGAATCTTAGGATTTATTAAGATAACACTCGATATAACGCATAACATATTATGTTATTATTATGCTGAATCTTAATAACGTTATTATTATGTTATTAAGTATAGTTAATAATATGTTATTGCCTGTAAATCTGTAGCTGCAAATATTTATATTTGCTCTTTATTTGTATGGTTTATTATATACGCACAACATTTACTCATTTTTGTATCAAACGTGAATATTCACAAAATATTTGCCAAATTTGCAAATACGTCGCATATTTGTAAGCATTTGCGAGGTATTTTGATTTGATCTTTCCCCCTAGGTGGAAAATAACGGGTTTTGTTTTGTGAATTTTTGAGAGATATATTAAACCAATTGCTCCAGACCGAAATGTATGTTCTGAAGTTCATTTGGCTTCATGCAGCAGCTAGTCTTCACTAATTTTTGAAGTATTTAAAAAAAAGCCCAACAATATTTTCAAATCATTAAAACATCATCAAATTGCGGTTTTACCTTTTACCGTCAACAATTTTCCACAACACAACAATCAATTTCAATTTTGAAAAAATCGACCTTTGTTCAGAATATTCCTCAAATATACATTTTTTCGGGGCTGGTGTCTGGTTCGATTTTTTTATTCAATTGCTAAA